AACAACAGAATCTGGATCCATATCTGATCAGTTTTAATACATTTAATAATTTAATTTCCCTCTCTCCGTCTGTCAGGTCGGTTTGCGGTGCGCGACATGAAGCAGACAGTGGCGGTCGGCGTCGTGAAGTCTGTCACAAAGGACGAGTCAAAGCTCACCAAGGTGGCAGGAAAGAAGAAGTGATGTCAGTTCCTGTCAAGGAAACAATATCTCTAAACAAACATCTGTGAACAAACATCTGTAAACAAACATCATAAACATCTGCAAACATCAATAAACGATAACTCAAACTAACTTGAAATGTTTCTATGAAACCTATATCCTCAGATATGTTTCCATAGAGATTTTGGGGAGTGACACTACAGTGGGACAATCTTCTGTGTGAGCTTTGTCCATTCCCCACCTCAAAGGGAATATATGAATTAGTCTAAGACCTCATGCAAAAACATTTGACATATAAACAAAGACATAAATACTCTAAACACCAGCTGATGTGTGGGGAAGAAGTTAGGCAGCAAAGCAGATACAAATATTTACTGATGCATTAAGAGGAGCAGGAGCTCATGAGCTTTGGTGCGGTCAAGATCTCCTTCTTGTGCAGCCTGACATAATGTGGGTAGGCAGAGAATGACCAGCAACACAAGGATTTTAGGGTTGATGTAACCAGATGGAGAGCTGTGGTTGTAAATATTCTTAGGGAGTTAGGGGAATAGTGTTTAGGGCATAGGCCAAAGCTCAGGCTGAGATCACACAGCTTTGAGGAGAACCAGGTTCTCGTCATGGGAGAGAAAAAGATCTCTCTACCACTGTGGGTTCCCCCAGCACAAAACCAAGCTCCAAAGATCAATTAATCAACACACATTTATTTATTCCTCAGCTGCACACACCGTCAACACAAAAACTACACCCACCTTCACAGAGATTATCTGTGTTAGATATTAAAGATCTTTGTTCCAGAGAATCTGTGTTAGATATTAAAGATCTTTGTTCCAGAGAAAGCATCCCAGGATTTCATAGCTGTTCTGATGTCATAGATATGTTGGAACATAATTTATTCTTTATAGTTTCTTTTAGACGAGCAGCTGTCAGTCAATCAATGAACCAATCAATCAATAAAATCTCAGAGTGTGAGGAATGTGTCTGTGTGTTTTCATTTTATTTTTACTGGTTGCTGCAGGAGGAGGTGGTAACCGTGGTGACTGAGGTAACTGTGGTAACTGCAGCAACCTACAAGAAGAAGAGCAGTGTGAACAGGAAATGTAAATCAGGTCACATGACCAGCCTGTTTTTTCCTGTTCTGTGTGTGTGTGTGCGTGTGGTCACAGCTTGTCATGCAACACTGCACACAGTCTGAATACGCTGGCACGCAATGTGGCTGCTTCCTGTTTCTATGACGTCACACACACAGTGAAACATCCCCTTTTTGTGTTTCTGAGAAAGTTTCCAACTTCAGATGATTCATAATAAATATATTATAATAAATACATTATTATAAATAAACTTTGTTGATCATATGAAGTAAAACTGTTTAAACTGATCTGAACTGTGGGCGGAGGTCAGACGCTTTAAACAGTTCCTGAGAGTAAGGGGGGCAACTTTACAACTGTTGGTAGACTAGTCTCAGACCAGACACTACAGTAACATTATCCAAGATAAGAACAGACCTGGACTGCTCTGGTCTGTCCTTGTCCATGTTCTTGTCCTCATGACCTTAGAGCAGGTCGTCCACTTATCAGAAGGTTGTTGGATCGATTCCCAGCTCCTCCTGCTGCATGTTGAAGTGTCCTTGAGCAAGATACTGAACTCGCAACTGCTCCTGAATCTGAACCATCACTTGTAGTGGTTGGAAGACTAGCAGGGCTGGAAGTAGACCACAACTCAACTCAATAGAACTCAGTAGAAATATCAAAGCATCAAATGAAAGTTAGTTTTAGGAACTTTCAATGTTTACATTAGAAAAAAATGACTTGGTGACCTCTGTGAGTTCTGCCACGCTCGGTACATTTCAGTGTCAGTAGTATGAGCAGTACATTACCTGCAGTACGTTACCTGCAGTACATTACAGCCCTGTAAGGTTGGGTCGTATATTAGATATGTGGTGTGTTACCTTTCTAACAGGAAGTGAACAAAAACAGGAAAGAACACCATGTTCATTGAGTACAACCACAGATACCTCAGTACTTAGTACCAGTACTACTACTAAACTGTGACATCAGTACGGGAAGCAGGCGCACATGGTGGTCTCGTTCTGATACGAGGAACTCGTCGGGTTAGCTGATATTAATAGTAAAGGGACTGTAGTTATATAACTGCTTTCTAGTCCTCCAACCACTCATTTACACTGCAGCTCACATTCCTAACCCTCACACATTGTTGAAAACTTGTGTGAAAGGGTTTAGCAACCATAAACACAACACAACCATA